TTCTTCCTGAAATGGCAGATATTACATCACTTATCTCAGATGCTGCACTGCTTGCTACCCGTGTTTGTGGAGTGGTGGGAATTGATCCCACGATGCTATAATGATAGCCACTGTCAGTGCATTGTAGCTGCATATGATATGATGCTTCTTTCCACTCTGCATTATTTCCTCACGAAAGAACCTTTCTTTGAGATCCAGTGACCTATTTTTCTCTTTTTAGGGACCATGTGCTGGCCACTCAGAATTCTGAGAGATTATTTTAAAAGTATGGCTCCTGCCATATACTTATCTTTCCCCTTGTGCATATCTATAATTTAATCATTATTCCTACATGTTTCACCAGTTATCATTCTTATTATACATAGCAAATAATCTGGACAATTATAAATGGAGGAATTACTGAATGAAGTCTGACAAAAAGTAATGCCTCCACAGTTAAAATTCACACTGCAAATAATATTCACTAACTATCCATTAGCATTAAATAAAGGCAAGATACGTGTTCTTAAGCATTTAACACTTCAGGATATTTTGAGTCAAATCATGCTTTAACTTTAGTCTCAAAATTATTTTGTTAGTCTGTGATCAAGTTAAATAACAGGCTTCATTGAAAAGAATGCAATGTAAAATCTTGAAAATTTGAAAAAATGCAAAGTAAAATTTTCTTTCAATGACTGGATGGGCAATGTACGTATCCTAATGTTGATATATGAATTAACCAAATGTAGAGATGAATAGCCATTGAATCATGTGAAAGTGGTGATATTCCTTAATGCTGAGAGCTCAGGTGTGAGCTGCTACATCCAGCTTACAGTATATACTTCTAAGATGTGAGCTTCTGGCTAGGCTATGAAAACGTTTCAGGTGAGCAACTCTACTAATCACCAAAGACCAGAAATTTCCACACTCTCAGCAAAAAAAAAAGAAAGAAAGAAAGAAAGAAAGAAAGAAAGAAAGAAAGAAAGAAAAAGAAAAATAAACTGAATTTATCACTGTACAGGTTTGATAAGAAAAGGCATTTATTGTTTATTTGGCAATGTTCTAGAGAATTCATCTGAGGATGATAGTGACCAACTCTGAAATCCAGGATATAGCAGCATAGTTTCAACTTCAGTATAAGATAAAGTGGAATCAAAATTACCACACAGCCACTGTGAACAAATGTGGGGCCCCTGATCTTACTAAATCAAGGGCTGCTGCAGGAAAGGCCAGAGAATTAACAAGGTTACTAATGTGAAAGCAGGAAAGGAAATTATGACATTGCAAGATTTGGGGAGCAAATGTGAATGCTTTTCAATGGGAGAATATGCCATCTCTGTGTTTGTTCTTCCCATCAGTTTTCAGTATAAATAACATAAAATTAGCAAATCACATTTCTACTTACCAGTTGCATAAAATTGTGAAATCCCAAGTTACTCCAGTGTCATCCCAGTGCATAGAAAGAAACTCATCCGACCCTCCCTGTGCATCAAGAAGAAGATGAACTAGGTGTTGAGGTACATGTCTACAAACCTAGAACTCTAGATGCTGGGGCAGGAGGATCAAGAGTCTGAGGCCAGGCTGCACTACTTCAAACAAATAAATGAGAACAAACAAAATAAGAAAGGCATAAGAGTGTGAATGAAATGCCAATTCAACTTGTTTTTTATTCTGTTCCATTTTAGCAAAATTCTCTAACAAGTAATTCCATTTATTAAAGCCATGATGTTCTAAAATGAGACATTCACTTTTTTAACCAATGGTAGTCAAAACGGCTGTCCTAATATTTTCAGAGTTAGTTGTGAAGTACAGCAGTATTTCCTACAAGATATGCTATAGACACTGACTAAATAATTCAAGAAAATTATGCAGAAGCTATTTTGAATTGTCTTACTTATTCAGAGTGCATGCTCGACAATTGGAGATTCTAAGGAATGCTGTCATTCAAAAATCTAGCTAAATCTATTTGCCACAATGGTTCTTATTTAGTATTTCATATATGGATTTTTTGGGTTTCTCTGTATTGCTTTGGAGCCTGTCCTGGAACTCGCTCTGTAGACCAGGCTGGCCACAAACTCACAGAGATCTGCCAGCCTCTGCCTCCCGAGTGCTGGGATTAAAGGCTGTGCCACCACCACATATGAATTTTTATTTGGCTATATTTATTAACATATATACAGCTAAAAACTTGGAAGAAACATTGTAACAATCCAGAATGTCAAAGATGATATAATAGCTTTCTGAATTTTGGATATGACTCATTTCTGTTTTGTGTAAAACTGTGAGTCATTCTGAAATTAACCAGAATGAAGCAACCCACAGTTAAATAGCCTTATCATTATGGTTTAGCTTCCACAATAGGAATTAGAGAAATATACTAGAACTGAATAGTTTTTTAAAAGTAAAATCACCATTAAAGGAAACCATACTCAATATAGAGTACAGTGTACACAAACTACTATTACATACAAAAAACAAAAACATCTGGGTGTCTCCATTTACACCCATCTCTACTTTAAACTGGATCTCAGTTTAGAAAAAAGAGAGAAAAAAGAAATGTAGCAAAGAAAATATCCAAAGAAAGGAATCTCTTTAGCAAGGACTTGGTAACTACCTTTTCATCGTTAGATGGTGAAATAAGTATAACTTGTGCTCCTCCAAGACTTCAAATGAAAGATAAACGATTTAAGATTAATTTTGACTGTAAGTTGTCTTCAATTTTCACATTAGAACTTAATGCTTATCCCCATATGTTTTTTTCCAGAATGATACCAGTTAGATAGCATGTATAAAGCCAGAAATTCTTCCTTCAAACGGTTCTAGCCAAGTGATTTTGAATATTAGCAGATTCTAGTTCCAATTAAAATATTTATGACAAAAGCTTGATGAAATATTTAAAATATTGATATTCAAATTATGTCTACACATATTTTCCCTCATTTAAAATATATTAAGAGCAAAACAATTGGAAGTTGAACTAATTTTCGGTATCTAATAAAAATTTAAACATTTACTTATAGTAAGATCATTTTTCATTATTTAGTAAATATTGACTTGAATCAAAACATGAGCATATTTTTAAAGATCATTATTAGTCTACTAGTTAATGTAATTTTTATATGTTTAAATGGTACATTTATTGTAATGCATCAATTATTAAACAAACACTTTTCCTACCAAGTATTTTTATAAACATCAAAATATCCACATGCTCTAGTGTTGTTATATTTGGTGGCATGAACCTGGGAGAGTAAAGCTTAAAAATGAGGCAGACTGGAGTCTCGTGCAATAAGCAGTTTTATTCAAGGCATAGACAGTTTACATTCTGAAGGCATTCTGTGGGCTAAGAAAAGTCGTGTAAGCAAAGTTCGCTTGAGTCCAAGTTGTATGCAGTCACAAGGACAAGGTCGCATAAATTTAGGCAGTATGCAGTCAGGAGGACAACACATGCTTGGAAACTTCATTCTGAATGATAATGGATAAGATGATGGATGATCTGAAGTAACCCCACTCCTACTTACCACACCTGTGTTAAGTACAGTCCAAGAACAACCCATTACATGGAGGAACAGAGATTACAAAACTCTTGTGTTGTTTACTCCCAGCATCATTCATGAACTGTGTTCCAATATTCCTGTAAGAAGGATATTACAGTTTTTATTAGAATGATTTAAGCACAAAATCCCGGGTTATTTTACTATAATTTCTAAGATTAATTCCGTGTTACTCCTCCCAGCTTTTGCTAATATGCATGCACTCATACATATCTTTCCTAGCCTTTCGAAAGCAATGCCTTTATATTATTCCTGTGCTTAAACTATAAACATTCTCAGTTAGGATGGCTTTTGGATATATCTTAGAATTGAAAATGATTGAGATAATACTACTTTAGTATCTATCAGTACTATACTCCTTTACTTGTTAGCCCAAAGTTCATTGACGTTTGGTTTTATGCCTTCATAACTATGTTTTGAGCTACAATACCCATACATTATGCTTGGATATATGTAAATCCTACTTATGAAACTAAGTTCTATGACATCAGAAATTATTTTTAAATGAGACTATTGTTGAATATTTTAAAACATAATATGAAGTTTGATCAACAATTCATCATTAAAAGGAAATCCATCACAAGTGTGGGGCAGATAAAAGAACATGAATTCCTTTTTTGTTATTTGTTTTGTTGTTTTGTTTTTCAAGATTTTTTAAATTTATTTATTTATTTTACAACCTGGCTGCAGTTTCCCCTCCCCCCCCTCCTTCCAGTCCCTCCCTTCCAGTCCCTCTCTATCCCCACCTGCCAATCCACTCCTCCTCTGTTTCTGTTTAGGAATGGACAGGTTGCCATGGCTATCAACAAAACATGGCATATCAACTTGCAATAAGATTAAGTACCTGCCCATGTATTAAAGCTGGACAAGGTGACCCAGTATAAGGAGTAGGGTCCCAAAAACCTGTAAAAGAGTCAGAGACAGCTCCTGTTCCCACTGTTAGGAGTCCCTCCAGAGGACCAAGCTACACATTGATAGCATATATATGCAGAGTGCCTAGGTCAGTGTCATGCAGACATCCTAGTTGTCTGTTCAGTGTCTGTGAGAGCCCAGGATAATTGATTCTGTGAGTTTCCTTGTGGTGAAGGACATGGATTCCTAAGACGTCAGAAATGATAGTCATGAACAGCTGTTACTCTCCATACAGAGAGGGTGGGTAGACTAGGCTTCAAGTTTCAAAACAATTTCATGAAAGAAAAAAATAAAAAGGAGTATAGGAAAAAGGGGTTTTCTAAAAAATCTATCAAGTGTAATACCCATAGTTGCAAAAAGCAGAAAATGTCAAAAGAAATGGCTGATTGGAATTTTAAGTTTTTCTAGTTACTTGCTGAATAAGACAGAAAATTAGAGTTCATTAAAGACAGAGGATAAAAATATTAGACAGAAGAATATTGCCAAAGGAAAAAAATAAAAGTGACTAAGTCTGGTTTATCTGGCTTTTTAATGCTGTGTTTCATTTCCCTGTAGAATGCCAGAATCCCCTGGTGATGTTCCCGAATATCCATTGTTCGTCACAGTTGGTGACTGGTTGGATTCTATAAAGATGGGGCAATACAAGAGTAACTTCATGGCAGCAGGCTTTACAACATTTGATCTGATTTCAAGAATGAGCATCGAGTAAGTAGTCCTAGGCTTACTAGCCTAATTAGATATTCTGCTCATGAAATTTCACATTCGCATGTCCAATCGAGAATTCTTTTCCTAAGGCTAGTATGTGATTTCTGTCATTATCATTCCAGTGGAAGCTGAAGTTACACTTTCAACTACTCTTCCAAAAAATATATATTTAATTAAAAAATATCTTTGACATTGTTGTCAATGATTCCAAAATACATACTGACCCTGTTTACAACATAGACATTACATCAACATAGTGTTTGTTGCCTTGGTAAATTGTTATTCATATACACTAATAAAGCATAGTCACTTCCTACTATCTTCATCACATCAATCTACTTAAAGAGTTACTGCCATTTTAGAGATCCTTCTATGCACTATCATAATTAGACATCTTCCATTGTCTCAAAAATCATCCTTTGCCTACATCCAATAGAAACGTTCAAAATGTGGAGTAAAAATATAACACACAGAGCCGTATGAAAGTACCATTGTTTTAAGAGGGCAATGCACTTTCATATGGTTCAAAACAATGGCAGTTTTAAAATCAGATACTGGATTTTATTGATTCTTATGAATTATTTTTCATATATGCACAAATGAGTAAAAGATCTGTTCTCAATGTTAGGAATCCCTCTTGAGGGACTCCTATTCACAAATGTCACAAATTCCAGTGTCTTCCCCCCAAGTTTATGGGATAATCTATTAATAAAACAGTTGAAGTTCTGTGTGTACCCCCATTTCTATCACATTTCCTACCCCCTTCCCAAGGTCGTCACTGCTCTGTACTGTTTATTGTTCATTATATATTGTATTTACATATTTCATATCAATTTTAATATTCATATAGGAGGTTATGTATTGTCCCTGCTTTTTTCACCCAATATTTGAGATTCTTTTGTGTCTATGCCTATAAATCCAGTCCATCAATGTAGGCTTCTATCTGAGATTTTCTTTCTTTCTTTCTTTCTTTTTTTTTTTTTTTTTTTTTTTTTTTTTTTTGTTTTTTTTTTTTTTCAAGTCAGGGTTTCTTTGTGGCTTTGGAAGTTGTCATGGAACTGGCTCTGTAGACCAGGCTGGCCTCAAACTCAGGGAGATCCTCCTGCCTCTGCCTCCCAAATTCTGGAATTAAAGGCATACACCACCAACACCTGGCAATGTGAGATTTTCTTAATGTCTCAATGTTTACAAAATTGTATTAGTACAAGTACTTTTGCATGGTATGGTTTTTATATTCATTTTTGGGTACATATGAAGCACAGAAGTGCAGTTACTGTAGAGTTGTAGAATACATATATTTCCACTTTATTTCCTCAAAATTGCTAAATTTTTATGAATGTCTTTTTCATGTCCATATTATAACTCTACCCTATATGCTCTGAATTGTCTATAACTGTTGCAAATCTATATAATTACTTGAATTGTAGATAGCCTTATGCCTACAGAAATTTTTCTTTATACCATTAAATTTGGGATTACAGTATATTTTGTGGAACAAGGGGGAAAAATATAAAATATTTGCTATTCCTTTATACGACTACTTAACAACTAATCAACACTTTTTTTTGTCAAATGTGACTATATATATATATATATATATATATGTGTGTGTGTATATATATATATATATACATATATATATATATATTTAACATAGCTGAGTATTCATTTTCTCTGGCTTGTATTTATTAAATCTATATACTCAAAATCTCTCTGTGTTTCTCCTCCACGTCCCTTCCTGTCTGCCTCTCCTCCCTTCTCTCCATCTTCATACTCTCTCAGTGACATTAGACGAATTGGAGTCATCCTCATTGGACATCAGAGACGAATAGTCAGCAGCATACAGACTTTACGTTTACATATGATGCACATACAGGAGAAGGGATTTCATGTATGAAAGTACTATGAACACCTGTATTTTGTGCCTCAGCATTTCTACAAAGAAAGACATACCCTCTACGGCTCATTCTTCTGATTCTCCAGACATCCCTTCACAACCCACAGTCTCCTGCTCAGACTATGGCTGCACACCTTACGTTTATGCTTCCACCCTGGATTTCGATATCCTGCTACACAGGTCCTCTCTGAATAGCCTGCAAATGAAACTCCGGCCCACTGCAGATTATCACTAGATAATGATAACTAACTCAGCATGAATGTGTAACTTTGTATAGAAATGTTTGGGAAGTGCTCATGGACTTAACCTAAAGGAATTTGTCCAGGTGTGGCATCTTCAAAGATGTTTGTAGAGTTTGATGGTAGATAGAAAGAAATAGTTGACCATTCTTCCATGTTTTGTGATTGAGTAGCTTCCAACTTGACATGCTTCTTTTTCGATAGTTTTGCTCAACTCTACGGTTGTACTGTTGTTATATTTTTAATAACTGAACTGTTGGTGCCTGATGTTGTGACAACGGTTTGCAGAAATGATCAATGATTCCATGTAGTGCATTTGTGTCAGGTGTGACTATAGTATGAAGGGCATTGTTGGGGAGGGAGATGGACAAAATTACTGTGCTTTTAAATATTCTAAGGCTGGGTTTGTCTATATTTTTAAATTAACTTTATAGGGTCCTACACATTTCATAGTAGGTGGTTGTTTAGAGGCTTTTCCCCCTCTAATTTTTTACTAACTATACTGTATTTCTCTAGTATGTTACAAGAATCACCCTTGGAAAGACCAAGAGTGAGTCCATTGCTCTGATAGTTTTCACAGACTCATGGAGTAAACCTATGGCTGTTCCTTTGGATTCATCTTGATGAGTTTGAAAAACAGTTATCAAAGCATTGAGAAGGTTAATTGTTCACAATGAAACATTTTTAAATAAAATGTCTAACATAGTAGCCATAGACTAAATGAGAAATGATTTACTAAATTTAAGTGGCCCAAAGTAATAGTTGATTGATGACTGTGTATTTTCCAACTTTAAGAATTCCAATATTTCATTCACAAAAATAAGTTACATGAACACTCTGAGCTGTTTTCCACATCTTCTAAAAAATTAGTATGGATACCATAAACATGATATAAAAATATCTCACATTTAATCACATATATATGCATATATATGCATATATATATATAAAATGTGTAAACATTGCTCCATCATAGTATATAAAAATAAGAATACACCTGAGCCATGTTATCATAATCTCTGAGGCTTACAGAAAGAAAGCAAATATATTTTTTCAGTGAATTTGTCAGCTTATCAAAATAGTACTCCTTTTTAAAACAAACTCAATTATAAAACCATCTGCTCTCCATGAAACTACAAAAATTACCATCATGATGAGTGAAGAATAAGAAGGTTATTAAGGGAAGAAAAATGCAGATTGGGTTGTCTAAAGATTTAGTGTAATGAACTTTAATTGATGTCAGAGACAAAGGTATCCTCTCCATATCTCCAAATTCTTACCTAAACTGTACTGAGAGAAGACAAAGCTTCTTCTTTTTAGGGATCCTCACTTTTTCTTTTACTCTTGTTTGTAAGATTGATTTTTGTTTTGTTTTGTTTTGTTTTGTTTTTTAATATGAGATCCTGCTACATGATTTCTTTAGCCAATTCATCTTCCCGTCTCATTTCCAAGAAAGCATGTATAGAGATGGGATGTCTTTAGAGCAATCCTTAACTATACAGAAGGAAAAAGTGGAATTCCATGCCTTTTAAAGCAAGTATGTCAGAAATAGCTAGAACGTTTCCCAGCCACCTATCTGCATGGCTGTGCATCATTCGTAGACTCTCTGCAGTTTGCTTGATACAGTTACATAAACCTGGACATATTTAGGGGAAATACAAAACTTCCATATTTATCTGTCCTTAAATATCTACTAAATGATAACAGAAATAAACAGATGATTAAATTTATTAATCATATATATTTATTTTTATAATACAGCAAAAAGGTATTTAGAAAAATAAGATAGAATAATATGATTCACCATAGGACTCTGTCTGCAGCATCTGTATGCCTTGATGAAATAAATTCTATAATAGTGTTTAAAATTCTGTGGGACTTACATTCGGTGATGGCAAGAGTAAAAATCTGTTAATATTCTTCTCTTTTAAAATTCTGATGATGCAATTCTATTTCTAGTTAATTTCCATTTCTATCTTATGTCTTTCATGATTTATTATAACATTCTTTCTATTCTTTATCCCCATATCCTCTTCCAAGTTTTGTAAAACTAAGTTTATAACTTACCAAGCTATGAGCATAACAATGTTCTGTGTGATTGTGAACTTCATTATAGATGGAACAAGGCAGAAATGTGAGCAAAATTAAACAGAAATATTAAAATATAAGAATATCTATTTCTTTGCTGCCTAGTGGTCATGCCCCCTATGATCCAAGAGGAATTAAGGAGTGTTAATGGTTAAAACACCAAATGCAGTTGGAAATATAACCTGAGACATTCTGAGATTTATTAGTGCCTAAGTTCAATAACTAAATTAATTTGATACATACAATTATAAAATAATTGCCCTAAAATAAGCTAATGACTTTCATAATTATAGTCATAAGTAATCTCTTATAACTACAATATACATTAGGTACTTGCTTTTAAAAATTTCGAATTGATTCCAGTGAGTGAGTTCTTAGAATTTTGAAAATCAGACCATGTAAATTTTTTATTTTCTCAAAGGCAACTTCTGGTCTATAGCCCAAAATGTAAATAAATAAATACATAAAACGTTTTTAATGTACAATTAAGAACATAGACGGTATATATTAATTGTTCAGCTAAAAAGTATCTGAAATGATGACAGTATAACAGGAAGGATTATAGAAAATTTACAAAGTTGCCCAATAACTGCTGATAAATGTGTTGTGCATGCTCAAACCAGACATTTATTACACTCCTTAAAATCTTCCCAGCTACAAACTGAATAAGATAGTCTTCAAACTACAACTCTCATAGCCTCTCATAGCCCATAATAGAAAACAAGCCAAACAATCAGTGAAAAGTAAAGTTTTTTTGTAAAGTCCTCTATGGCAGTGATAGGGAAGAAGAAACTGCACATCATCCAACCTGTGTTCAAACCTCTGTTTTGATACCTTTCTCTATTAAATTTACACTCTGGAAGAAATTCAGTTAAAACGCTCATCTCAAGATTTTTACTAGAATTGTCTTTTTTCCATTCCTATATTAAATTTTTCAGCCCTACCTGTTTTGTTTGTTTGTTTAAATCCCCCATCCAATCTCTTTCTGTCTCAGGTTCTATCAATATATTCATTACATCAGCATAGCAAAGCACAGCGAGTCTCAAAGAGCCTTGTGAATTTTTGTGGAAGGGGCTGAATGGCAGGGCAGGTGGAAAAAAAGATTATACTTTTAATATGTTGGGTCTTAGCATACAAATAGCCCTTCAAGTCAGAAGGTGTGAGTCTGACTTTCCTTAACAGAAAATTAAACACAAAGGAAAGAAATTCAAAATAAAAAGTCGTTTCTGCATCTTCACTTCATTAAGTCTAATATTAAATAAAAAAGAAATTAGTATTTTTAAATTTTTTTATTTAATACTTTTTCTTATTTTACATATCAACTCAGTTCCCTCTCCCTCCCATCCTCCCAGATCCCCCACAGGACCCCCCCCGTCCCATCCCCCATCCACTTCCCAGGGAGAGTGAGGCCTTCCATGAGGGATCATAAAAATCTGTCAAGTTATTTGGGGTAGGGCCTAGGCCCTCCCCAGTGTCTCTAGGCTAAGGGGAAGTCCATTTGTGCACTAGGGATATATCCTAGGTCCACTGTCAGAGGTCCGATGGACTTCCCAGGCCTCCTAACTAAGACCCACGTTCAAGGGGTCTGGGTCGGTCCTATGCTGGTTTGCCAGCTATCAGTCTGGGGTCCATGAGCTCCCCTTATTCAGGTCAGCTGTTTAGTATTTTAATAATCCAATGCTACCATATAGGGGATCTGTGCCTTTATACATAAAAGAGCTTTAAAGCAGATTCATCAGTTCTATATTATAATCCCCTTAACTTTCACAAAGAAACTTATATTCATAACTAATTAATAAAAACATATTTGATACTTTTTTTAAACAATAGAGGAGTAGAGTAGGTACAACTGGGGGTGTTCTTTTGTCGTTCACATGATCAAGTCACATAACTTTTCCTTTTTATGATCAACATTTCCAACATCCTTTCTCGTTTTTATAATGTTCAGAAAAGAATGTTTTATTTACTATAGTTAAACAAAACAACATGCCTCCCATACACATAATTGGTTTCACAAAATGAATTTAAGTACATTGTTATTTGTTACTACTAATCCCTGAGTATAAATTTTAGAGATTGGAGACCCCTTGCAGTATGCTATGATGGCTCTGTTGTGAGAGGTTAGATCTTGCTGTAGAATAAGGCTAGAGAAACAGGAGCTAGTCAAGTGCGAAGTGCATTTTCAATTCCTGTCAGAAAGGTATATTTTGAACCTTGGAATCTCTTAAAATTGTTTCCAAACATCCATTACTCTGTTTTGTAGACGAAATCATGCTTGTGGGTTCTCTAAGATAGTTTCATCAAAGTCAGTCCATATATGAACTCATTCTTCAGAAAACCTGTAAAACATTTTTTTTCAAACCCAACCTGAAACTAATCTCTTACCTGAGCTAATTTTTCTAGAAGATGTGATAGTATGAACTTCGAAGCTTCCATAAAATCCTTTCCAACAAGATTCATTAATCAAGGAAAGAAGTGGTTGACCATGACTAGATTAAACAAAGCCAACAGGAAGAAAAACCTTACATTGCATAAAAATAAATATCCCATCTTCATCTTCCTGGTCCCTTCCAAAGACAAGACACAGGCAGATGTTGAAATATTTATGAGAAAAACAGTAAGGTTTTGTTATACAGATATGTGACATGATGCATATGTCTTCGGAGAATAAATTTGAAAAGGTTTAGAAGTCACAGATCATCCAAATGTAATTAACTAACCTCTTTTACTGACTAGTAGTTAGATTCCAATTATCATTAGGTCAAATTATTTTGAACATCTTTATAACAAAGCTTGAGTTCTCTTCTCTTGAATCAAGTGTTTTCTATTTGGTTGGCAAATTTCCCTTTTGAAATCATAGAATATATATAAAAGGTTAGCTTTTCAAGTTACTGCATTTTAAAATGAAGTAAGAAAGAGAACTTTGATATCTAAAGGAGATAAAGGACTTCTAAATAAACTTCAGTTTTTTTCAAAAGACTCTGACAACCCTTGTGCACCTCAGTGTTGTAAAGTCACTTCTACTTTATTATATTTAACACTCTTCTAATGAAATCATTTTTATAAACAAAACAATGTCCTTTCTTAAAGTGTTAGACTCATTAGTCGCATTTCCATCTTTCTTCAAAAAACATAATCTTTTGTTTCATATTAAAAGAAACTTTCAAAGGATAAATCTCCAACCCTTAAGTACAACCAATTTTTGACGAATATCAAAGCCACTGAAGAAATATTACCTGTCCAAACAGGATAAAGGATAATGCTTAAATGTAATAAGACTTGTGCATAGTAGAAAGGTGTTGTACCACTGAGCCACATTCATCCCCAGGGCAAATTACTTCCAGTTTTGTATTAGCAAATAAAGTACAGGTTAACCATACATTTATCCCACAGTTGTAAATTCAAGAAGTATTTATTCCATTAACAGTACTCTCTCAAGTGCATACCTATCCTTACCCATGTTTCTACATCATATTCTGATGATCTTT